TCAGAATAAAAGATTTTATATTTTACCATAAAAATCTATTATAATTGAAGGCTGAGGCCTGAGGCGCATAGAACCAAAACAGCAAAAGTGTATACAATTTTTGTACAGTATAGGTAGGTAATTAAAGTTTTGAATATTTTTCAACATTTATATATGTATAACTAATATTATTATTATTTCTAATAATAAATACAATTAAGTAACCAATACAGTATTTCCAGTAATTAAAAATGTATCAACAATATGTTGACTAAGTTTTTAAATTTAAAGTTCTTTTGGTGTGATAGTTTATTAGTATAAACTTGGTTACACCACAGTCCGCAGAATATATTAATTATTATATATTATTATGTGTTTAAAAGTTAATAAGTATGTTTGTAATTTTAGTTCCAGTTATGATAAAACAATTGTAGGGAATGATATTGTATTTTCAATCTTGGTCTATGATTGGGCTTAATTTTAATATTTTCCCCGGGCGTAAAAATTCTTAGTTCCGCCTCTGTATACAGTGTACAATAAACAAATATACTGTACTTATATAAGTACTTCAAACATAAATGTAAAATTGTGCAATATGTATGTGATGTATCATGATATTATGAAAATATTTATATGAAATTGAATATAATATATTATTTACCCTTATCATATTTTCGTCAATCAACGATTTTAATTGAAAACAAATGATAGTACATCGCAAGATATAAAACATCATCGTCGACTTAAACTTTCCTTGGTTGTAGTTTATACTACCCAGGCCGAAGATCAAAAAACACCGATTTAAAACATTTAATATTGATCGCACATTCATAATAATTGCTTATATTGTACCTACTTATTTATGTACGAATTTGGTACATTTAAAACCGACTTTAAGCTTTTAAGATTTTTCGCTTACAAACTTAAGTGTCTATTGATACCAACGGAATGAAATCTACTTTTGAAAATGTAAAATATATTGATATCTACCTAATGGATTTATTTAATTTCCCAATGCATTATAAAATATGTATACTACATTAGTAGGTATGAAAAATTATGTAAATACCAAGTATTGAGGATGAGTAGATTTTATTGACATATTATATTATATTATATTAATTATAATTTTATAAACAATAAACTTCTTTTACTATAACACAAATTGCAAAAGATTACTATTAAGTTTTTTAATTAAATAAACTAAAATAAATACAATTAAAACGTTAAATAAATAATATAAACATGGAACTAAAAGTTATACATAGTATTATGTTGGCACAATATCACTAAAAATAATTGATTTGTTGAATATATGAACCAAAACATAGGTCATATTTTTGTCCGAATAATTTCAAAATACCACCAAACAATTGCAAATCGAGTTTCGTTAATTTCAAATCATTCAGTTTTGAGTAAACTCAAATCGAAATTGGGGGGGGGGCAATTTCATTAGCCCCCCACTTTGTCCGAGTACAGGGGCCCGGCTATTTTAAGAGCCCGTGGACACGTTGAATGGTTACAGAATAACATAATAAAGTGGAACCTTGTTGTAAGTTTTCACCTCAGCTATAAAAGTTAAAAATTTCAAAAACTACAAAATCGTTTTAAAATTTGATAAATGTTATCAAAAATCGAACTTCAAAATTCAAATGCTTATTAAAAAAAAATTCTCGAATAATGTTCTGGTTAACTTACCTAAGTTTAACCAATTTTATCGAATGTTACACTAATCGACACATTTTATAATGAAAGTGCATGAATCTAACGTATTCTGTTATTATTTTGTAGAACGGTAATATAAAAATTAAAATACAACCAACCATATTTGAACAGTATTTGTATATCTATCACTTCCCAAGGCACCGTTACAAACAGTGACTAACTCGCTATGACAGGTAAAGTAAGCCATCTAAATCGAAATCTACGGTTCCGTCTCTTAAAATAATTTACAACAAAGTCGTTAACTCTGCAGCCACAAATATCAATAATAACCAGAGCCACAATCAGCAACCAATAAACGGTCATTACCTTCCTCACCATTGACACTTACCACTACCAATAAGTCTTAAAAGAAACCAAAATATTTTATCTCTCCAAACCATTACTAAGTCCTTGTAGTTTCTGAACCTTAGCCGTCCACCAATACTAACACAAACAATGATAATGTTTTAAACTAAGTCAGGGGTCACAACAATCTTCCACACAATGTCGTACTCAGAAGAAAAAAAATTTCCACCACCAATTTTTATTAAAGATGTAATAAATATTTTTGAATTAAGAATAGCTTTCTCAGACATTACCGGACCCACTTGTTTTAGCTATAAATCAACTTCTACTCATCTCAAACTAGACACAAACGAGAATTATAGAAAAATTATACACTATCCAAATAACAATTATGTTGAATAACACACATATAAGCTCCAATCTGACAAAGCGTTCAGAGTCGTCGTAATGAAACGTCATCCCTCGACACTCGTTTCTGAGATCGTTTCATTCTCCTCGGTCTCGGTGAGTCAAATGTGCAGAAAACCATCTTACAGAATAGTGCACCAAATCACGTGAGTCTTTCTGTAAATTACTAGGGTTGTACTGATTACAAAGAAAAAACAAGAAAATAGTTTTTATTATATTTTTATAAAAATTTTAGACCTGTCATTTATATTTGATCAAAACAATTCAAATAACCGTGTTAAAACTATGTGCAGATTACATTTTTACGGAGGTTAATCCTAACGCCGTGTAGGATTTTCAGGTAGTAAATTAATATTTATCAATGAGTTTATCTTGATAAATTGTGTATTTTTTTTTTACTATTACCTATTTTTAAATATATTTTCACATTTTTTACTGCATTACATTATAATATGGCATAATGGCATATTATTGATATTGTGATACTTTTTAGTGCATACAAATTTGTGCTCTAATCAATATAATATACGAAATCCAACTACAGGTGTGTTATTGCAAGCAAAAAACCTGCAGGTAAAACACTGATATCTTGTGGAAACGAAAAACTGATCTTTTTTTAGATTTGACGGCAATGAGTGAAGCATGCTCGCCGCTAGTGTCATTCAATATAGTATAAGCTCACTGTATAATATTATTATACATTTATACGCTGTTTGCATCATCGATAAATGCTCGGGTACATTAAATAAACCGATTTTTTTCGGACTATTAAATTGTTTTTAGAACACATACACACACGTGTGGTCGATACGCGAATATTGGATAAATCGGTTGTCACGGGACACGATTCCAAAAATGGCACACTGTAACCAACTCGGTAATACGCTCGTTCAATCAGTTAGTGCAGCGATGTTTTTGGATCATTTGACGCGTATAATATTGGTACGATGTTGGTAGTGATATTGATATATTATGACGTGTGTGCGAGTGCGTTTTTGGACCAAAAGTTAAACGGGCGTTAAAATCACATAAATCGCAGCCCACGTCCGATTGCCTAGGAACAAAATAAAAACGTAATAATAACGAATGGGCCCGTCGCTGACGTATTTGTCTTGTTGTCGTTTCGATTAATCTATAACCGATATCATATAAAAATTAACCATGCGAGATATCGCATAGTGGTATAGATACCTACACAATAATTTACTTCTGTTGCCGAAACAAAATCGCGATATATTATATAACTATTGTGCTGATAATAGTGAGAACCATCTACGGAACCGAGTTATTAGTTATGAATTTGGACTGTGAATGTAATTCGTTCGAGTGGTTTATTCCAACTTTATTTTCAATACCTATAGGCACTCGTTACTTTGTAGAAGGAATTAATTTCACCTGTTCAAAATTATCATTTCATAAACTTTCATACCTATATACAGCATATATGGTTATGATTATAAGATTATATAGGAGGTACACGTACGACACAACGATGAAACATAGTTTTGATTAACGTGATGTAACAAACTATTTATCACCATAATCGGCCAGGGAGACAACCATACAGGTATGATTCACCGAGCTGTAACAACCCTACCCATACCACGCTACTTTTATTCTTGAATAACGCATATATTCCAATTTTTAAGTTAACTTAAATACAATAACTTTTTCTAATACACATATTTTTTTTGTAGATAGGTACCATTGAAGAAATTGCCCTGTGGTGATACAATTTAAATTTTTTTCAAATGGCGGATTTAAAAACCGTCAATCTCCTTGGAGTTTTCAAAACCGTTGACTTTTTGTCTACTACATTATTAAATACCGCCAATGTCGAAATTACACCAACTCGGGAAAATCTAAGTAACGCATTTACATCGGTTACATATATTATGCGAGCTGTCACTGTGTCCGGATCGTGTGAAATTGTCGTCGACCCACACAGCGAAATAATTGGCACAGGGACGATTGTACAGACCTCTTAATTGGAGAGAAAACGGTCAGTCGACTTAAGTCCGTCAGGCGACGAGGGTCGTATTGCGGTTAGGGTCCATCACTATATACACTTTTAACCCCGAGAGGGATAAAAATATATATTCAGCCAGATCGAATCGATTTTGGTTTCCGTATAGATCGGAGTAAAAAATACAAAATTGTTATCAGCACTATAATAAGTCATAATATTTTTGTATAATTATTATCATCTTGTACAATGGTTTTCAACCTTTTCATGACTTTCTATTTGTTTTCCTCGTAAGTAATTCAACCCATTCAAACAGTCTATAATATAATACATAAGTCATAACATTTTCTAAACACTTATATAAACAGCGGATAGGTACATAAATATATAATAGTCATATTCTATTCTATTCTTATATTATTTTATTTAATAATTCATAGATTTTTTTATTAAAAAATAATATTTTGAAGATATTGAAATAATTTTATAACAACTACAATTTACAATAATTATCTATGATAAACAATTGAGTTGTATTTAATTTTAAATATATATCATATTATAAAAGGGGGACTACTTTGAAGCCTCAACCTAAAAAAAAAATTATAAAAATTATCAACCAATTACTTATCTCATCTTAATTTCCATTCAATTTGAACAAAGTTTGAATTACAAAGTAACCGGTTGCTTTGTTTAATAAAATAAGTAAATGTCTTAGATTAATTCCACATATTCCATACAACTCAAAATTAAAGTGTTCGTGCAGTCTTCGTAGGATAAAAAACTTAATCTAAATAGTAATAAAAAAAAAAAGAAAAGTTATTCCACGTAAGTAAATGCTTAAAGATATGTAGTAAATAAAATATAATAAATATATCAATTATACCTGACGTTTGATTCTTGGGTTTCTTTCTATCATGGACCGTTGGTTTAAGACAAAACTCATCCGATTTATCTGCAATCCAAATTATAAATTTTAAATTGAATTAATAATATTATGTTAATCACTTTGTATAATCTATAAATTTCGTATGAACTGTTTAATTAATGTTTAATTCTGATCAAACATCTTTACACTTGACGTGCTTATATCACGGCAATGTTTAGGTAATAATAGGTTACAAAAATATTCTTCAAATATTAATTTACTATTCTTTATTTATTTATATAATTCATTTAATTATAATACCCGACGTGAACCAAAGATATACATATTGTAAAGCGTAAATATATAAGTATATAACTATAATATTATATTACAAGATCAACAACTGATGCTAGGTAAGGTATGACAGATTTTCATGGGAAAGTCTCATCGTCCAGGTAAGTTATGAACTTATGTATGAAATTAATTAATTAAATATATACAAGTGTTGAAAGCGAGTAGATATTTTTATTTAAATCTATAGCGTTATAACGTATAAAAAATTAAAAAATATAAAAACCTCTTTTTCCGTGGCATGACCAATTCCGTATAACAGTATAACATTGAATAGTGTTATTAATATTTTCATAATATTATATACACATCCAGTTGTATTTAAACTAGGAAAAATTAAAGCATAGTACAATAATAACATCACTAGACTAATATTTGCACCAATAAAACTCCATATAGCCGGTAAGCCGTATATTGATGTATTTATATCGTTCAAGCATTCTATGACTTCCAAATACATATCTCTGAAGGTACTTATGGTTGAATGTCTTTGCGGGATTTGTTCGTTTATGATGTACACCATCCACCGAATGTATAATACCAGTAGTATGTATTCATAAAATACAATGCATTCGCATAGATTTGAAAATAAATCAAAGAGCTGAAAAAAAATATAAATGATATCATTCACAGGATCTTGTAATGGTCACAATTTCTACTTGATGTGTTATATATTATATTACAGAATAAACTATGTAGGTACAATAGGAATAATGTATCCCAATTCCCAACCCTTTAATTTTGTTTTAAAACGTAAATTACTACATACATTTGATATACAAAAATACATGGACAATAGAAAGGAAGTGTTTATATCAACTATATAATAATTTTAAATGTTGATTATAATTACCATGCTAATTTCACATAATATTTTATTCTTCATATAACTCGTTATAACCCAATTGATCGTTCGTATATTACTTGCTATAAAATGTACAATAGTTACTACTTACTATTATGAAAAGCCAATTTATTTTTATTTGCATCGGTCTAATCACATTCAGATGTATCAATTTTTCGTGAATTGCTTCAAGTTTAGTTAATATGACTGATAGTTGATTATCAAAAAATATTCGACACATATAAGGTACAACTTTTCCAGTTAATCTTATTTCAAAACAACACATCATTATTAATGAATTAATATCAAACATGAGGGGATCAATCCATTTTGACTGTAAAATATATAATTTAACATAAATATTAAACATATACATAGTACTTACATATTATTATTGATATTTATGGTACACATTATTATATATTTAACAGATTATAGAGTACAAACTATTTGAACCACTCGTGAATTCTATATAAGACATATATCAAAAAATTAGTCATTTTAATACCGTTCAAAACATATTGTCTGTTTTTTAGCGAACTATATACATTTTAATTTTGCTATTTGTGCACCATACATTTTTGTTTGTGAATGAAAAAGCTAGTTAACAAAAAAACAAAGAAGTATAGTCAAGCACAAAGCTATGGGTATTATAACGACATTCCTCCAATTGTCTTGTCTAATATTATAAATAAGCAACTAAGCCTAAAAAAAATAACAACTTATTAGCTACCTATGACTGATAAATAGGTTACTTATATAAGGGTTATTCTAGTTGTGCGAGAAATGTAAAGGTCTTCGTAATGGGTTTCCTTTTTAATAGGCATCCGACATATACACGTAAGTTGAGTTCAAACATTTAGAAGTATTATATAGTGGACTACGGCGTTGGTTCCGACGCGAACTATCTCCGGTTCGAACCTCGACCACAGACGGCTCCTCTCTCTGGGCAAGCAATACTGTCTAGAGAGTGAGACCACCATCCCCCGACCAGGCATGGCAAAAACCTACGGGTGCCCAACTTGAAATTCTGCCAAACCTAAGAACGTGTTGTAACCAACTGTTCCAAACGTTCCTGCCCTCCTACAAAAACAACAAAACAGCTAATGGCCATAGTTGCCGGGCCTAAGTTCAACCAAAAAAATAAACAAATAAACATAATGGGTAATTTAAGACTATTAAGATATTGTAATATCCAGATATTAGGATGATGAGGTAAAGGCTGCGTACGAGTTGATTCCCTGGTCATTATATATTATTTTTAATATTTAGTCAAATATTCAGCCTATTAGCCTAACCTAAGAAACACCAGGAAGAGGTTGGCTGACAAGTTTCTCAAAAATGTTGTTCTATTTAGTTTTTACATATTTTGAAAATCATTCGATTTTTTGTTAAAAAATTATTAGTAGAAAAATTTAGTAATTTCGTAAAAATGTATAACACATTATTGTTTTTAAAAATTGGTAGGTATCTGGTAATGAGATATTTACCAGTATACCGTGACATATTATAATGACCCGGAAATCAACTAACACATAAAGTAGGTCTCGGGAATCAACTCACTATGGTGCTAGATATACTCTGTTAACCAATCATTTATTTTTTTCACAGAAACGTGAAAACGATCGTGGAATGAAAGTATTTAAATTAAATTAAATATTATTTACCCATTTGTTATTTGCATTTATTATTGCTTTTAAATGACAACAAAGTATAATACATCGCAAGATATAAAATATCATCGTCGGTTTAAACTTCCCTTGATTGTAGTTTATACTGCCCAGACCCCAGATCAAAAAACACCGATTAAAAACATTAAATATTGACCGTACAATCATAATAATCGCGTATATTATACTTGATTATTTAGTGCACTCAAAGCAGATTGTAAGTGTTTAAGATTTTTTTCGTGTTTTAACGTTATTGGCTATTGATACCAACCGAATGAAAACTACTTTTTAAAATGTATAAAAGCTAATGGAATTATTTAATAAAAATGTATACTAAATTACTATATGTATGACAAATCGTCATGGATACCAATTGTTAGGTACATATTGAGGGGAAGTATATTTGACACATATTATATTAATTTTAATCATTAACAAATAATTTAAACATGAGAATGTCATACAATTTAAGTTTTCAATTGTCATGCACTCATCTACTCTAAGCACAAGGTTTCCATTTTGGAGAGGTTTTTATATTAATATTATGTAAAATTAATTTGTATAATATGTATTGTTTTCTTTGTATATGATGATGAAAAATATTATATTATAATTGTTATTAATTATTGCTTAATATAAACTTACTCTCTTGTATTTTATTTAATTTCCGCGATCCTTTGGAAAAGATTTCTATTTACCTCAATTCTTTATATAAATATTGGTTAAAATGACAAACATTCTATTTGTTCTCATTCGTATCTATATCATTTATCATTATTCATGGAAAATGAAAAAATTATATATTTAATACAGGATTATATTGTTGATTAAAATAAGCTTACTCTGTTTTATTTTCATTCAATTGGGAATATATATCACTCCATCAATTTTTTTTCCTGCTATTTTAGAATTTATGATTCCTTCATTAAATTTTTGTTTACTTTAGTTTTATGTTTTCATTTTCCTAAAAAATAAAATATTAACTTTGGTGGATAAATTTCGGTGTAGAGTTGGAGAAAAAATTTTATACCAAGGGTAAAGGGATAATGGCATTATATCAGGGATTTTTTTTATACATCTTATAATTATTATTAGCTAAAATTAAATTACTCTTTTTGATTTTCATAGTCGTTTATTAACTACAGTACAGTCGTACTATAATCTATTTGTTGTAATTTATAATATTAATTAAACTTACAGGCTATAATAAAATATAATAACAATATAAAATATCTAGACTGACAAACCGTCTCAGCTCAGAATCGTTTTTCGTTATACAATGATATGATATCATTGAATTCAAATTTAATACAATCCATTATACAGTGACCCAGTTGTAACCTACTGTATAACAGAGCGACATCCACTTACCAGCTTTTTATATATAACGTTGTTTGTTTTCCGTCCTTTGCTAAAACGAATAAGTTTTGTGGGCTTGATACTCGTGAGCACACCACAAAAACAGGTTTTATCTAAATGTATGCTTGCTATACTTTAACCGTCTGTCCTTGAGCTTTATTTATTGTCATTAAAGATTCTCCTTTTAGGGAAAACTGCACTCTTTGAAACTGAAGTGATAAATCTGTCGCAATTATTGGGATTCAGGGAATCAAAACATTTTCTTCTTTATATTTTCCATGATACCAGTCATAGTTGTAGCTTTTATAATATTGCGTCCCTAGTAAGTAATTTGTAGCCGTGTATCATTACATAGCACGGGTGCTTCAATATTTCTCATCAACAGGACCGGAACACTGACTTTCAGCCTGAGATTATGGGAAGGCACTCCTGATAATTCTAAAAAGTTAAGAAACTCTATATAGGAATGTGGTACAACGTTACTTGTTCAGTATCCATAACATTATCTACCGAAAGGTTAGGTTACTCGAAAATACCCTTTGACATCATTTATTCTTTAATCTCCCACACTGTCTCATTTGTCGATGTCAAAATTGCCCTCTCACACGGCCGCTCTCGATTGCCCAAATTTAATTGCAATCGGGATAGACATTTTTTTGTAGACCACCTGTGTTGTCAATTATTTGACATAATTCAAGGAAAGTTTCATGCCGTACGTTCTTCTCCAATTTTTAGAAGAGCAGCCTCATATTTCCCTGATTGTGCATTATTGTGCAGTTGTACTCGCATATATTTTGTAGTATGACATAACTTTTCCACGTAACTCCATAACATAAATGCTTTCAAACAGGCATTTATTTTATCCACTGATGTGCCTCTAGTAATCACAGGCAGGGTCTGTCTAAAGTCACCAAAGTCCATCCCACGATTTCATTTACAGTGTTATATATTATATAGTAGTTATCAAAATGGGAAAAGGACAATATTTTATTATAGTCCGAACTGTAACTGCTCTGCCCAAGGATGAGTAATTCATATATTATGGTATATTTTGAAACTAGGTCATACGGTATGGCCCATACCTAGATAGTTTATTTTAGTTTTTAGCGAAGTTGTAGTACATCAATATTTTGTGGGGTACACCGCCATTTCGCTCACCTAAACTATAAGTAGGTACCTATAGTACTAACTATTATAACTTATAATTTACAACAATAATAACCTACCTTCGTACTTGATTTTTAACTGAAATATAATTTATAGGTAGCTATATTGAAATTCTCAGAAAAATATTCCACATCAAAATATGAAATAAAAAAATAATGTATGCTGTTCGTCAAAAAAAAAGGAAAACACTTGAGAAATGATAAAACGATAAAAAAAATTTTCAAAAACGTTTATATCCTTCGAGATAATCTGTGTTTACAATTAAAAGAATCACTTAATGCATAAAAAATAATATAGTAACATAATAATATTATGGCCATATCAACTATAGTCTGGTCGCACGATATGGAGCTCGCAGCTTTTGGGTAGAAACAGCGTATATTGTATAACATATATATTGTATAATATTATATAATATTATATTGTAGGACGGTGCTGGTCGTCCCACGTTTTTGTGCGAATACCCTTGTGGCAAGGCCCCCAAAAGATAAGCTCAAATGTCATTTGTCATTTTACACCGTTTCTCTTGTTCGGTATAGTACCTATAGCGCACATGGTACAAAATAATATGTATAAACAGTATAGGTACGTGACCGTTAAACCACGAGGTGCTCACGATGTATTATGACATTTACCGGGCGAAAAAAAACGAAAGGTCCCGGAAGGAATTTTTTTTTCCTTTTTGCGTTTTCCCCGTTCCGAGACCGAAAAGCGATAAGATAATAATTAAGACCTGTGCATACTAATCGAGTCGCATGCCTGAACAAGAGAAAACGTATTACACTCATTTTAAGCATCGGTATGAACGAAAAATATACCGATCGAGTCCCGCGCTCGAGAAACGAAGAATATTTATTAATTGAGCCCGCGCACTAGGGAAAAGTAAAATACATCGATGAAGTCCGTGGATTTTTTTATGTTGTATATATTGTCTATATTTTAGATTCTGAGTAGAACGATGAATGTATTTAAAGTTCGAAATCGCCTGAAATGCTAACACATTAACACGATTGTCACACATCATCGGATGTTAAATACAACGTCCATCGACCGTCGTATTCGTATAGCATGTACCTATCGGTTGTAAATCAAACGGACAGTAAATCTGACAGACGACGAGTGTGTCTGCTATTATAGTAATCACCAAATTCAACAACTGACGTAATGTACCTACCAGCCTAAACCTGCAGTTTCCCATCGACCAACTCAATTACATTTTAGAATCATTTATTTGCAATAGTAGCAGAATTAAGGCCGTATGGCGTATACAGCGTGATTCTTTTATTAAACAACACTCATTATTTCAAAGTGTAAATTTTTTTGAAGATATTTTTTTACATAGTTTCAAGTTGCTTATAAAACAACGTTTTAATTAAAAAATTATATTTTTAAATATTTTTTTATCCTTATAATTTTTTAAGTTTTTTACTTTTTTGAATAACAACATAGGGTTTTAATTTTATATTCCAAAGCAGAATATTTTTCTTAGTATTTTGATACATGAAAATCGAATTTGGGTTGAGTAGTTTATGAGTTATAAGTATTTAAAGTTTAGACGAGCGGAGTGGAGTGGTTCGGGGTTACCCCGCGAAATGTTTGTCCACTTCACCGCTCGTCTAAACTTTAATTACTTATAACTCATAAACTACTCGCCCCAAATTCAATTTTCATGTATCAAAATACTAAGAAAAATATTCTACTTTAGAACATAAAATTAAAACCCTATGTTGTCATTCAAAAAAGTAAAAAACTTAAAAAATTATTAGGATAAAAAATAATTAAAAATATAATTTTTTAATAAAAACGTTGTTTTATAAGCAACTTGAAACGATGTAAAAAAATATCTTCAAAAAAAATTTATACTTTTTGAAATAATGAGTGTTGTTTGATAAAAGAATCACCCAGTATATCATAGATATTTGTATTGTTATTCTACGCTAATATTCTAAACTATAATTAATAATTCGTTATTTCCTCCATTTTCTGAATTTGATTTTAGATTAATGTATTTAAGTATTAGCTACTAGGAGTGCTTGACAGACTTAGCACCCATCTATAACATTAACTTCCCACATTTGTTTTACATTTATAAGATATAATAAAATCACATCAAAAACCCTTCGTAAACTACGTGTAAAAATGGCTAAGTAAAAAAAATATAAGATCTTTAAGCACAATAAAGATGTGATATCATGAATAAACACTAAGTATATTGAATTTAAGTAAACTTATTTTGTTTCAATAATTTATTTACTTGGCGAGGAATTATTTCTTAAAAGAAACTAAGTGTGATGAACAAAATAATTAAATGGCAAAGGACTATTAAAATATAACTTATTATTATTTTAAAATTATTATTATTAATATTTATATACCTAATATATTCTAAATAATTCCTCACCAAGTAAAAATAAGTTTACTTAAATTCAATATACTTAATATTTATTCATGATATCACATCTTTATAGTGCTTAAAGGTTTTATATTTTTTTTTACTTAAAAATTGAGTATTTACACTATATTCTATAAGAACGATAATATTGTTGGTAACTTGGCAACGCTGATGCGACGACGACTACGACCAAGGTTAATATAAATGGGGGGGGGGGGAAATATCCTCATTAAAAATATATTGGGGGGGAATGTCCGCGATTCTTAATAAGTAATATGCAAAACTATTATTTTTAATTCCGCTACCATGAATATATTTTGAGCAGTAATTGATTATTGGTTTAAATTATATGGTATTTTATTCAATTTTAGTATTATAACAATACCAAAATCACATTCCTTATAATATTCTAATATAATATTTCAATTTATTGACGTTTCAGGTTAATATAGTATATACAGTGGGACATATTTTTTACTATTTACTTTATATTTTAAATTAATAAAATATACAAATCTTCTGTAATTTATATAAATAAATTAAAGTATATGGCTGCATTTAATATTTAATACTTCGTGCTATTATAACGTCATTTTATTATCTACCCAGCACCTGTTATTTATTCCCCATCCAACACGATCAAATCTTCTATTTATATTAAGGGGATTCGATACCGTGATTTTCTGTTTTTGTCTAACACACGCGCGACATAGTATTTTGGACGTGTTTTTTGCCAAACATACCAATTGATCCAATGAAGCGATAAGAATTCTGAAAACAGATTTGAATTTGTCATAAAGTCTACTTGAAATCGAATTTCCCACATTTTTGATATAATCCCTCGAATTTTTTAAAATGTCATATTCAAAAAGAGTATTTAAAAATTCTGTTATTTCAATTTTTGGAGAAGTTAAAATCAACAAATCATAAATGTGGGAAAGTCGATTTCAAGTAGACTTGACGACAAATTCAAATCTGTTGTCAGAAATCTTATCGCTTCAATAGATCAATTGGAATGTTTGGCAAAAAACACGTCTAAAATACTATGTCGCGAGTGTGTTAGACAAAAACAGACAATCGCGGTATCGAATCCCCTTAACCTTGGACTACGACGACGGCTACCATGATTCTGAATTTAATATAAATTTCCATTAAAAAGTTAGCACTTTTTCATTTATAACTTAATTTTTAAACGTACGATTTTGATGATTTTTACAAAAGCACTTTCTACACAATATTTCTGATGTTTTTGAGTTTACTAAGGGTTAATTAATGCATTAGAAAATTAGCTATGTCGTATTACAAATTTCCCTGTATTTTACACAGTTTAAATAGGCAACTAATGCTTCGATATACTATACACACACCGTAGTGCGCTTATCATTTTTTTTTTTTTTACTTAGCTGGCGCCACGACTATGGCGCTGGATATAATGTTTATTAATTAAAATAATTACGCTATTGTCCAAACATTTTAATTTTGTTTTAATTTCATGCCGACGTTCGATTATTAGAAATTTACAAAATATTTAGTAAACATATAAATATTAAATATAAATATAAACATACAAATATTCTAAGATAGAATGAGAGAATTATCAGTGAATACATTTTCGATATATTATTTAAGCAACAGATAATGGCGGCAATAGACGAACAGCTAGGAAAGATCAGAACAAAAAAAAATTGTCTACTTTTAAATAATTATATCTAATAGATTGGCTTATGATTACATATTAATTGTGTTATATTATTTAGTTTACCCGCCCAGTCCCTTCACTGTCCGGTGATCGGATATAAAACCCGAGTCGCTATAAATGATGATAGGTACATATATAATATATCTGATCGTAAGTATATTTAAATAAATTAAAAAACGATTGATCATGAACAAAGCGTTATTGGGCGTGGGTGCCGTTACGAGTTTTGGGGAGCACATATTTAATAATAGTTTGAGTGAAAACCCACACGCCTCGGCGTAAAATAATCCGCGAAGTTGGTTTCTATTATAATAGGTATACCCATATTATAATAAAATAGATAATCGCGTTTCATGTAAACCGTTTCAAAACTGTAGGCAGACACGACATATTACCTCCTCTACTATGTCTATATAATATTATACATTAATAGGTACCGTATATATTTACAAATTAACATCCATATATCTTTGAGCTGGTTACCTACGTAAAAACTAATAAGATTGTATAGGCGCGAGACTAGTCGGCCGCCGCCGGAAAACGATTCTCTCACACGCCCCCGCGGGAATTCACCGCCCTGTGACCTTTTAACGGCTTCGGCGATCCTATTTTCAGCCAAATTGACCTAAAAGCTCGGCGAATCTATGCGCACATATTATTATTATTATTATTAAAGGCCCTCGCAATGGGAATAGTGGGATCTGAAAAAAAAACCACTGCGATTTTCAGTCAAAAAAATACAGTTACTGTATACTGTTTGTTTTTAGTATTTTCACGCGTAAGACTCGCAAATATAAGTGTCAAATCGGTCCTGTGTGTAATATTTACGACGACATTAATTTGCTGTTTGACGAATAATTTGTTTCCATGAAAATATGGAATCGCCAATTTCGTTGAATAAAAGTATTATGCTGTAAGTGTTTTTTTTTTCATATAATATAGTGATCAAACTGCACTGTGCGTATGTGACCAATAAGTAAACAAAAGTTTAAAAAAGTTTTTAACCCCCCCCCTCTCATTATGTACATAGTATATAGTTACGAGCAATCAAACGTTTCAATTGAATTCTCCGTTAAATTATATTGATTAATTAATTAAAATGACGCGTATATTTTATATTCTAATAAAGTTATTTTTGTTTAATAATAAGTAATAACCACCGTCAGACGAGGCTTGAGGACACTTTAATTAGAAACTATACGGAAAAAAAATAATATATAGTTAGGTAACTTTTCCAAGTTGCGTAAAAAACTGAGCTACACCATGAGTCGGCGACGTCCAGGGCAAATAAGCATTATTATTATTATTATTATTATTATTATTATTATTGTCATTGTTATTATTATTATTATTATTATTATTATTATTATTATTGTTATTAATATTATTATTATAGGTCGGCCAATGTGTAATGGACTATTAAAAAATTCTCTTAAATACTAATTTTTACTTTAATTTTTTTTTGGAAGTATTCACTTTAGGCTTAACTCATTAGGTTATTTTTTTATAAATAATTTACTCAGCTACAATTTAGTACATAGGTAAGTAGTACAGTTTTGGTTTTAAAGAAATTTTCACCTCTTAAAACCAGGCTTATAAGTTTAGCACATGCATTATCACTGGGGAATTTGGGGAATATAATCAGAACCCTAAAACTTAACGAATAAACAATCAAAACCATTTATTCGTTTTATTCCTAAAAAAACCCCTTTTTTCGCCTAACTTCTATGGACTAAGCCTCTATTTTTCTTTATGCAGATAGGAAGAGGCCAATGACGCAAAAAGCCCAACTGGTCTTTTAAGTGGTTTTACTTATAAGTTTTTTCTGCATGGAGTAAGTCAACTACAGGTGTTCCCACGACGAAAAGTATCAATTGAGACAAAATCGTCTTTGCATCATGTTGAAATAACATAACCCACCGTTATTTGGCCTGCAGTCGCCGATTCTTATGTTTTTTATTTCTATCATTTAATATTGCTTTTGTTCCTTCCGCTCGTCTTTATTATTCTCAAATGTAAAACATTTAAGTCTGACCTGTCGGTAAATACCTTTGTAAGTAGATTATTCGATGAAAATAATGAATTTTATTGTTTCTCCAGATTTACCGTTTTATTCAATTTGTCTATAATTCATTAATACCTATTATAAGAGTCGTGTGTTCCGTTTTTCATACTCCACATAATAAGCAACGAATACACAATACCTAAATCATAATATTTAATTAAATAGTACAGTTTTGTCGTAAGCGTAACATAAACTCGCCGAAAAAACGGGCTTTTCCAACAATATAAATTGGAATTATTTGTGTATTATATTCAAATTGATTGGTTTACAGACATTTGAGTTTAAGCACTTAGTTTTTTTACTGTAAATTGTAATTTTCATAATACAACGCTAAACATTAAAGAAAGAATCTGTCAATCAACTCCTTAGAGGACGTCTTTATATTATGTAACCATCGATTGCTGTAAATTAATTACTATATTGTCGTCACTATTCGCACTGTATAAGAGACTTTGTTGTAGTTTTAACACGCTATAGGTATTATTATTTTTAACGAAATATTTCGATTAATTAACTATGGTTTTAACCTATCTGACCTCACGAAATATTTTTTACGTAAACAGCGTAACATGTAAATAATAATTATATTCGGTATATATTGTATATACCAGGTAGACTGTAGATTGTAGATAAATTGATAAAACAACAAAAATTATGTTCATAATTGTAAAAATTAATAACATTAATACTACCTTTTATATAAATATCACAAGTAAAATTGATGATGCTACTTATATTTTTATATAATATACAAGAATCCTTTGCATGACATAAAGACATTACATTATACAGGATAAACTTTATACTCTATCTAAGTGGTTATTTACCTATAGCGGTTTTGGAAACTTTATTTCACCACATATATACTTAATATGTATAATGTATACCTATATAATAATAACAAAACGTATAGTGTAACTATTTAATAGCGTTTACTTGTATCGGTATAGACGGCCCGTTTAAATTACGTAAGTGCCTACTGCTATTCATTTCCTAGCTCATATTTTCATGTCGACATCAATGGTCACATACCTACTGGCATATTATGCATTTATGTGCAGTGTTTTATACTAATAAAATGAGAAAAACATATTTTTGGATATTTTTACTGAGAATTCTTTAATGTTGAAAAAATCAGTATGTCTCAAATTTGTTTAGTACTTATAACTTCCAATTGTAAAAATTGTGAGAAAATGTTTTCATATAATATTCAGAAAACATTTCGAAAAAAAAAATTGTAAATTGAACATGTTTTAGGTACTAAATAAGATTTTGTTTTTTGCATGATGCAGCTGCTTGCCATATTTTCTGTGGGTGTCCAACAATGCATATAATATTACCGTTCGCCAAATATAGGTTTTTTTTCCCCCTTTAGAAGTAATATATTAGTACCTACTGTATAGATAGATCATAGGGTAACAGGCCCAGTGAATGAACAGGTCCAATAAATGAACACTTCGTTGTTTTCTTTAAATAATAAGGCATACATCGATTAATACAATAATGTATTTAGCTTAACACTATGTTGAACTTATAATAAGGTGACACTGTAAATTGTATTATCATAGGAGCATTAATCAATTTGTTAGAATGATAAGATTTTCCCTCCATTAATTATCACCATAATTTTTATCAAATTATTTAATTTGTGATTTTTTTTTATTTTGTTAAGAGCGTATAACGTTTTTAATTTTATCGACAGAGGTTCAAACAAGGTAAGTTTCGATAGAGTTAATATTTTAATACATATATTTAATTTGTTTTAAGCATTTTTCTTATTTTTCTCACCATTTAATCGCTGTTTAAGCACTGGTGTTTACAATCAACGAAATTCCACTAAATGAACAGTGTTCATTAACTGGTTTTAAATTTTATTTGTTGTATTCAGTAAATGAACAACTGTTTATTTACTGGGTTTATTCACAAATACAACATTAGTCCTGTGAATGAACACTTGACATTTTGGAAAAAAAATACTCAAACTAGGTGCATTAACCTTTTTTAATTGCTTTCAAGCGTTATAGTTGTAAACTAATAGAAATATTATTAATTGTTTTCATTATCTAAATTTTGATTTTATAGTTTAAACATGAGTGAAACAGAATCATCTGAAAAATTAAAACAAGGGAAGAAATACAAAAGATTTCAATATACCCATAATGATTTGGTTAATGCAGTTGAAGCTATTGTGAGTAAAAAAAAATCACTCAATCAGGTACACAAGGAAACAGGAATACCTAAAGCTACTCTTAGTACCAAGGTAAATAATAAAGTTCCTTTAGAACGTAAAATGGGACCACCATCTGTTTTATCAGTTGACAAAGAAAATCAAATTGTAAATTGGATATTGTCAAATGCTAAAGTTGGTTTTCCAGTGCACCCTGAACAATTAAAAGATTCAGTACAAAGTGTTTTAAAAGAATCCCCAAAACAAAATCCTTTTATTAATAATCGACCCGGCATTAAATGGTTTAATTTATTTTTGAAAAGACATCCAGAAATTAAAAAAAGAAATGCTGAGATTATTTCTAAAGCAAGAGCTAAAGTAACAGAGAGATCTATTCGATATTGGTTTAGTGATGTTAAATTATACTTAGAGGAAGAAGGTAGCTTAGATATACTTAATGATCCGAGAAGGATTTTAAACTGTGATGAAACTGGCTTACAGTTATGTCCGAAATCTGGCAAAGTTTTAGGACCTAGGACAATGAATAATTTTTATGAAGTAGCTAGAAGTGCAGAAAAAGAAAACATTACAGTCCTTTGCACTTATTCTGCAGATGGAAAATCACTACCTCCAATGATTATATACCCATACAAAAGGATTCCTTTGCACATTGCCCAATCTTTGCCAGACGATTGGGCAATTGGCCGTTCGGATAGTGGATGGATGGTATCCGCCACATTTTATGAATATGTAGCAAATGTAGTTTATCCATGGTTAGTTGAAAACAAAATAGAGTTTCCTGTCATTCTTTATGTCGATGGTCATAAAAGCCATTTAAGCTTGGAACTTTCTCAATTTTGTTATGATAAAAAAATTCATTTGTATTGCTTGTTGCCAAATTCCACCCACATATTACAACCTTGTGATGTTTCCATATTCAAACCTCTAAAATCTTATTGGAAAGAAGTTACCAGAGCACATAATTTAAATTCAAAAAGTCCAATCACAAAAAATAATTTTGGTATAATATTTAAAAAAGCTTTTGATAAAGTTAAACCAGAATCGATCATTAATGGGTTTAGAACATGTGGGTTATATCCTTTTAATCCTGATGCTGTGGACTACAATAAATGCATTCCTACAAGGATAGCAGAACTTCAACAACCAGAGGTCTCATTCTTAACTCCAAATTCAAATGACTATCTTGTATGCAAAAATGTAATTAGTTATATTTTAAGAGACCACGAGTTAGAAAATGTTATAAATAATAATACATTGTTAGCCAAAATATGGAACGAATGTGATAGTAGAAGCGATGATACTATTATTACTAGTTATAAACAAACTCAAGAATTTAATATATTAGACATGCCAATTGAAATTGAAGGGTCAACTCTCATGTTTACTGATAATGAACTTGAGTTGTCAGGGATTGAAGTATTAAATGAAGAATCGCTGTTAACAAATTCTGAAAATTATATAATAGACTCAAATGAAGAAAATTTTAATTTGGACTTGGTTGTAAAAAAAAATGTATGCTCAAATATTTTTGATCATGTAATAAATAAATCAAAAACTTCTGTGACACAAGTTTCAAGTGTAGAAGATTCAAAAAACTGTGATACAATTTGCAATGAAAATGATTATACAAACATTTCTAGTACTGTAAAAAATCCAACAAAATGTTTATATAACATTGACAAAGTTGACAGTGAAAATATTTATGAATTAGTAGAAAATACAGTAAAACTTTCTGGAGCCATAAAGAATAAAGAAACTGATCCAGATAATTTTACTAAAAACTCAACTCAACAAATTTGGGATAAACATTTTAAATGGTCTAAAGAAGAAAATAGTGATTTTAAAAATAAAATTAAAACAATGCCTGTTCCTTATGCTATAACTTCAAGTAAATGGATGCAGATACAAAAAGAAAAAGAAGATAAAAAGCTAGCTAAAGAAACTCTTAGCTTAGAAAAAAGAAACGCAAGACTGATGAAAAAAATTGAGACTGAAAATAAGAGAAAATCTAAAGAAATAAACAAAGTTCCTATTAAAAAACCAAAAGTCATTAATTCTATGGATGTTCCTAATTTAGAAAAAACAAATTTTGAAGCACAAAAAATCAAAAAGACCCTGAATGTGGGTGATTATGTCGTTGTGATTTATGAAGGAGAATATTTCCCAGGAGCAATAAAATCTATAAAGAAAACACAATCTCAATATAAGGTAATAAATCAAATAGCATTAAAACCAATAACTATTTATTTTTATATATTTACCTATTGTTGTATAGGTTAAAGCAATGGCTATGTCAGGAAGACATTGGAAATGGCCAGAGTTGGATGATTTGTGTTGGTTCAATAGAAATGAAATTATTGAAAAAATTGCAACTCCTAAGTTTGTTGCAGATTTGTCAATCGATGCAATTACATATTCAGTTCCAGAAATTGAATTAATTAAACAAATTAATGTTCCTATTATTTAAGATATAACTGTATATTATTAGCAAATATCCAGTTATTTTATAGGTTGTATTGTCATTATTAAACTATCATTTTTTATTTTATAAGGATCATGTAGGAAAGTTACCTACCTATTAAAAAGACATTTTGTATTTTTTATTTTTAACTATTTTTAGTATTTACCTATGTTAAATTGTTTAAATATTTATAATTTTAATTTTAAATACTACAACAGTACCCAGCTGTTAATGTTATTCTATAGTTACTGAATTACCATTTTTTATTTTTTAAACACCATATACCTAGGCAAGTTACCTGTTAAAAGAAAATGTTGTTGATTTCATTTTATTTTATTATTTTTAGTAGTTCCTAATGTGCAATTGTTTAAATCTTATGTATTGTAGTTTTAAATACCTACAACTGTTTTTAATAAATATTTTATACCTAAAAACGCCTAAAAGTTTAATGACTTCTATAGTTTTTATTACTAAACTATAATATCTCATACCTTATAAACAAATAGTAAAAAGTAAAGTAGATAAAAAAAAGAATATATCATAGTAAATATCAGTGTTCATTTACAGGAGTGTTGGTATTCATTTAATGGACGATTTGTTCATTTACTAGGAAAACTTGTTTTTTTTTTTATGATTGACTTTTTAAAAACCTAATTTGTTTTAACACAATCAAAATGTGAATTTTATGTTTCATAACATTTTGATGTATAATACAAACATATTTTATGGCCAGAAATTCTGAATTCCATAGAGTTATTTAGTTTTAAGGTTTAAAAATCCTTAGGTGTTCATTCACTGGTTCTGTTACCCTAGATATTACAGGGGCGTCGTGTCGTTTGGTGTAAACTGTAAAGTCAACATCATGAAAAATACTGTTCATTAAATTACAAGTGGTCTAATGGAAGTAGTCGGTAGATAAAATAATAAAATTGGTGGGGTAGCAAATTCTACCCCTAACTACCCAGTTATCACACCTATGAATATTAGATACTATAATTATAAATAATATCTAAATCGGTACAGGTAAAGGTTGACGAATTACTTCGGTGTCCCGATTATACATGGTGATTAGACAAACATGCTCACCTTCTCTTTTCTTTAATAATACAGTTCTTAAAATTGGGTTTTTGGAATTTTTAAACTTGAAGACCATATTTTCAAATGTTTAGAAATATTTTGAAGAATTTAAGCTGTGTTCTGTGTCAATACAAACTATAAACTTCAATTTCTCAAATGAAAATCCTCCTTTTTCTACTTAAAATTAATTTGCAGATACCTAACTTTTTTTTAACATTTTGATGGTTCTAAATCAAAATTTGGAAGAGTATCCAACTTATTATACAAGACACATAATAATTATATATACATTATACATGTATCACACAATTACACAATACACACACCTATTGGCCATTCCACATAATTTGTATTATAAATTGTTTCCTCCGTCGTCCAAATGGTATTAGGATTGTTTTTTTTTTTTTTACAAGCAAAACAAAACTTTGAGCTTAGATTGTATATGAACGAACTCTGTTTTTGACAATAGCTTGAGTATAGGTAACGAGTATAATACAATATAGGAAGGTATACAAACTACAATCTTCAATCGTCCATAAAAATTGATCATTTTTCTTATGAGAAAAGTTTGCTCGAAGTATTATCAAACAAATTTAAAATATTATAACGATTGTTTTCTTTGAACAAATATCCCTACTAAAAATATCCATTTATTGTAAGTCGTTACTCCTTATATACCTATTATCAGTGTCTATATTTAACGTGTGTTTATGATAGGTATATCGTATAAATCACCTGTGAATGACTTGTTAAATCCCAAATATAAGACCTTAGCAAGCTACTCAAGAGTGTTCCTCTACATGCAAGGAAAATCTATGAATCATAAATATGTTTTTTTTAATAAGTAACCACCACAACGAAAAATCTGTCAGAAACAAAATCGTGTATCCAGCCTAAAACCATATTTATGTTAAAATAAAAATTTGGGACACCTGCGTATATTGGTAATAATTATTAGTTTTCATCAAAATATAAAAAATTGTCAACACTTTATCATGAAATACTCACTGTAAATTAATAATTATTGTGCTGAAATTCAAAACATTAAATGTGTTCTTCATGGGCAGACTGGGCCACTGTGCTACTGTGCAATTTCATATGGGTCATAGTTAGTTAGCCGGTGTCATATGTTATATAATATACCCCAGTCTGGTACAAAATAATCCAGTTGGTATAATATTATTATTGTTGAAAATTTTTTTAGGACCACTATTATTGAGAACACCTTGGTAAAAGGTAGTAGAACAACATGATCCACTCGCCGCTCAACTAAACTTTAAATAATTATAACTATAGGGCCCGAATTTTAATGCAAAATGCATTTTTTTTAGAAATTCCACAACAATGCTTTTTAAGTACCTAATCTTGGTGGGGCATTTATGTAAAGATACTCGATCACCCATTAATTTGTTTTTATCATATATTCAGAAAGTATTGCAAAAAATATTTTGGGTATACTATGCTTTATATCTAAATAATCAAAAAAAATAATTAAATAATTAATTAATAAAATGTCTTTATTTACTTACATATTTTTAACATAATGGAATCCAAAGTAGGTATAAGGTATAACCTAAAGTACTTATAATATGTTTTACATAAACTTGTAATAAGGTTGCCTATATGACTTATGACATACGAATCACGAATATGTTATATGCACATTCATATTTTATGTTAGATTGCAACTAAACAAATAAAGAGAGGGCTTTTTAAGTATCTAAATATCAACATATTGGTAATTGGTATAACCTATTAAAATAAAAATCAACAAATGCAATTTATTATGTTAGCATTATTTATTTTATTTAATTATTATGATTATATCTAAATATCAAATAACCATTAGTTATCACTTATCAGTATTAAATTAATATAAATAATAATTACAAATTATTAGGATAGTATTATATTATATATCTATTATAGTATTTAATAAAATGATCAATATAAAATGCATTAACAGATTAGATTAAAATGTTCAACATTAAATTATAGGCGGGCAAAGGAGGGGCAAAATTAAATGTTGGGGGGGCACTTGCCCACTCTGGCCCCAGTGTAGCACCAACCCTGATCTAGAATATTATAATATCATTATTAGCTACCTATTTATTGCAATATTTTTATTATTGAATAAATCCAATAACAGTGAAGTGCAAATAGGCGCAGATTATCTATCTCATTTCAATTGGGACGAGTTGATTGATCGCGAGTGACGGATCTCTCATTAAACTCAGCTGTCGTTGGATCTATTCACGCCTTTACAGGGTTGCACACTGCACTTGACAGAAAAAAATAATTAAAAAAGTTCTATCGTGCGCCTATTCAAAGTTGTCTGTACGAAATAACATATTGTAATATATTATACATTATACATACCGCGGATAAACAAAAATGGGTAAAGGCCAGACTACCAGAGGGGATGAAAGACTTTGGAGTGGGTATTTAGTTTTACTATGTACACACATAGACATCCCACTCACGTGATGTGCCGGTCACTATAACGACGACTCGCCTTTTAGCTCTTGTCCGCTGTCAAATTACGAGTGCGTGTGCGCAATAATAATATAATACTATGTTCTATAAGCAACGATGTATAGGTAATACATGGTCCATTTTTGGTATGCTGGCTGACGGTATACTTTTAATCATCGATTATCGATCTAGGAACCAAATTTTTATCACACCGATATCGCATATAATCGTGAACAGGTAAGTAACAATAATAATATAAGTTATATTAGTTTTATTCTTGTGCGATTTTGAGTGGTTTAAAATATGAACAATGAAGCTTGACTCGTGTAGTCATAATATGGAGTAATGATGATTACACATATTATAATAATATAATTAGACGCCGTGATATTTATTATGTATATAAGAAAAACATTTAAAACGTACGATTTACTAATTTACGTTACTGCAGTAACCATATAATATTAACTTTATTGGCACTTATCATATTATGCGTGTTATATGTGTTCTCCAAATCGTCGAGTCCAAAACACCATCATATCCTTATATATGGGTGATAGTAAAATTTATTTTTTACCATTGAATGTAGACGTAACGAATACAAAGGTCGGAGAGTATATATATATATATAGGCACGTAAAGTAATATTACAATATCTGGTAATTTGTGGAGCCGTGTACATGTAATTTCAGTCGTTGTTTAGGTAAACGAGTTAGGATTTATTTTTATTATTTTGTATTACCGATTTCACGCGGTCTTTGCAGTTGGAGGGAAATATTAATCTTTGATGTTTCGCGCATCACCGATGCTGCTTTGTCGGTCAAGTAACTTTCCGGATATTATAATATATTATTCATTTATACCTAGTTTGTATTAAATATTCGCAGTAGTTAAAAAATAATAAGTCGACAAATGTTAAAAAATTTTATAATATTTCCCACACATTGGATTCATCAATCACAAAAAAGCTGTGCAGACCTGCAAACCGTATTATATATTTTATATTAGGTATATACTATACAAAAACAGGGCCGCATTATACTAGGTGCAAATGGAGCATTTGTTCCAGGCGGCAAATTTTGAGGGGCGGCAAACTACCAGTCTAATAAATAATAAATTACAATATGTTAAAATATTTTTTTACTATGGATATTTTTAAAAATAATTTGTAAATTAAAATTGAAAATGATGCTAAATTATTTTTATTTCTCAATTTTGAATTCTACTTATAAATTATAATGGAATCAAATGTGAATAATTGTCGTTACAATAATTATTGTCATTCGTCGACTATCCTAATTCTTAAATTAAGTATTGAAAATTGGATTCGAATATCGTACGGTAGATAAGATAACACATACATTAGAACGGAACCCGCGTGTTGACGTTAAGTAACGTATTATACGATGTCTTATCGATTTCGATTACAATAATTCATAGAAGTAGCCTATCGG